TATTACAGCGCTCTGTGGAGATGAGGTTTTCCAAGCAGTAAAAGTACTGAGCTTTTATACACACACACATGAAGGTCAACCCTAGTGGCAGGTGGCCGGCAGCGGCTCCGAAGACTAACCACTAGACCACCAGTTCAAGATGGGGGGGCAGACAGTTTCCTTTTTCCGAACATACACAGCAGCAAACAGAAACTTCAACACAGTCAAATATCATTCTTTTGGCATACGGCTATGTTATGACATATCTTACAGTCTCATTGCGCGTAAGGCCACAAACCTTCCGCTGGAAGTGTTTTCCATTCCTTTAAAATGTATCTAGATATCTACACACAGAGAAACTTTTGCTTGTGGGGACTGAATATCACCACATAACGCTGTAGCTATTTAATGTGTCTCTTTCTCTGTTCACCTCCCATCTCTGCCAAGGGTCTAATCCTCTGTAACTAATAGGCTGGATATAAGGATTATTTTTACCTGCCCAGAGACACAGAACAAGAAAGACAGTAGGGGAGAGATGAATGGATATGTGGGAAGCATTTCCATGACAGAGCGGCCACCATACTGCTCCTGAGCTTGGCAGCCAAACTAAAGCCTGAAAGTCACCATGCTTCCGTGTCGCACTCAATCACATAAATTCACACCTTTTTTCTGCATATAAATGAATAAATTTAGGGACATAATTCAGTTTATTCTGGGATTAATAAAATCTTTGAGCCACTTTCCTCACAGGCTTTCTCTTTGGTGGAAAGTATCCTATATATATAGGCTTTATTCCACATCTCATTTCAGCAAAGAAGGTCTTGCAGTTTCATATAGCAGTCATTGTAGGAAATACATTTGAAATAACATCAGGACTTTGTTTCACATTTAACAGTTGACCCAAAAAGGAGCACCTAAGTCAGACTCTAAACACCACTCACTCCCCGGCGGTCCCGGGCCCCCACACTTAAGCCCCCCCCCCACACCGGACTAAACCCCTTCAACCCGCCTTTGAAGAGCACCGCGCCCCAGGTAATATATTTTAAAAAGTCCAGCCGGTTAATACTATGGAGCTATGGACCGACATTGGGTTATTTTACATGGGCCGAGACTGCGGTGTGCGGGTCGGTAAAACTGGGCCGGCCTGGCAGATCCATTTCCTGCCAGGCACCCCGGATGCACATCCGCAGGCGTTTCGACTGGGCCTCCTCCACAAGCCGGGAGCACAAGCCTTTGCCTGGCTGAGGCCTCATGTCCCGCCCCTGCCCTGGCCCAAAGATATAAAGGGTTTTAGTACAGTAGAATATATTCCTAACTTTACTTTTACTTTATTAGTCCCAGTTACGTCCCTCCCTCCCTGCCATTGGCGGAGATGTGACAGCTCTCCGTAACCCAGTCATATAATCCAGTGGCGTTTTTGCGCAGTTCATGCTTAATCTTCCAGGGCAACACTGAGCTTTGCAGTGCTGCTTTAGTTAAAAGAAGGATTTTACTCTTTCCCCGCCTCCTTCTCTTTATCTCTCTCTCTCTCTCTCTCCCGCTTTCGCACTCTACGCTTTGTAGATATTATGATGAACGAGGCATTATCAGGGAACAGAGGTAAAGTAGATTAAAGTGACATCTAAAGCAGGAAAATGACCCTTCTCATCTACAGAGGCTGCGCTGAGTGATGAGCACAGATGAGTCACGGGTCAGAGAACATGACTCCAGCGAAAATCTTTTGTCATACAATGCTGGAGCCACTCGGGGAGTTAAGCTACGACTTGCCTCAGATGTATTTAAAAAGTAGTTTTTAATGACTTACGAATGATGCACGAGCTGCCTTTCTAATGGACAAGACGGTGCATCAATATGATCTCTCGCCCATGACAGCTACAGATTATTTCTCTCTTTCTTACTTCAATGTCTCTCCCACCTTTTTCTATTCCTGCATTTCTACATAAAGACAATTCTAAAACAATTTAGACGCAAAACAGTTTCAATAGTTTTGCGGTATCTTAATTTAATCCACACATTTATATTTTGACTTGATTACAATGATGGACAAAAAGTCAGAGAATCACCAAAATGTTCCACGCCTTTAAAATCATTACAGGAACTTAGAGTGAAAATACATTTACACTCAAGTTGCCTCTTTTGGCAAATACTGCAGATGTGAATAGTGGAACAGGCCCTAATGCTCACATCACAATAAATATTTGGAGGGATGCGGTGATGGATGGGTCATCCGCGGTGTACACCATAAAAGCCACTAATGGTGGAGGACTGCCAGAGTGTAGCACCAAAGTAAAATGAGTGCAGCCGCAGTTATTACTGTTAAGTTCACCGTGTCAACCCTAACTCTACTGTTCAGCGAGGCCACCAGGCGCATCTGCCAGCCGTGAATAGAAATGGTGGCTCATAACAGTTTAGGACAAACAACACATCCTCATCCAGGTCTTCCTCTTTAAATAACAACCGTGTTATAACACAGGGGTCCTGACTTTTCTATCCAACTCCTAAAAATCAATATTGACATGGAGCACATGCGCTGTGGGCACGGATTTAATATGTGGAGTGCAGTAAACTATGATTCACCCTCATCACATTCACACACTCAGACACACACACAAGTCACGATGGTGGTAACTGGCAAATACTCACATTTAGGCCAAATAAATGACTGGCAGATAGTATAGTTCACAGACAGCCAGGCCGTGATGTCCATTTGTTTAAATATAAATATATATATTCAATGTATTTTATTTAAAAGGCATATTATGAAAGTTTTCTTAGTTGTTTTAGTCCATACATTCTACAGTTGGCCATGTATCAGCAAGATGATATTCAAGAAGGACCATGGTATATATATATCCAGAAAAGGTATTTCTATATTGTAAAGTACATGTATTTGTTTTGTTACATTTTCTGGCACCAGTATTTTTGAATGTTACTTTAATACATTTATTTGAGAGGTATTTTTTGTATCAAATTACACTTTGCTTTGTATTTTTTCCCATCTCTGCCTATTGGTCAGGTCAAAGTGGCCACACACCTGAGGTTATGCATGGCGCGTGGACCCGACTATTCCTAGTGCTTGAATGCTCCCCAGGGCGAGTCTTGCCCAGAAAACCAGTGGGCCAAGTTATTGTGTAAATGTTGAGTTAATTCACAGTATATGGGAAAACAGTGACCTGCTGTTAGGCAGTGGGTAGGATTCATCATACTGGGACCATGAATATGTGAAATTGTTCGTGAGCTATTTCCATCGCAAGTTACTTGCTTTACCCCGACCATCCGTTATGTAGTTTTCCTTTTAACGAGAGGTTCCAACAACTCAAGGTTACCTCCCACGGGGTCAGAAGCTCCGTACTATTTAATAGCTTATTTCTGGTTAATGTATTTTTCATAGGATAGTTAGAAATGCAGTGTTAGCGTTGTTTGGTTTAATGGTGCTCCGTAGATGAATGTGAAGATTTTCATAATTTATGACTCTTGAGGGTTATGTTGTGTTTTAAGTACTTTACTATACTGTTATATTAATGTTGATTGTCAAACAATTGGAGGGAACCGCAATGAAGTGAACACAATATTAAACATGCTTGTTCATATAAGCAGCTGATAAAAGGATGAGGATTGTTGTATGTTTTCCTCTTAAAGTGCACTTACTATTTCCTGTCCCAACCAGGCAAAAGTACTCTTTGTGGCTTCTCCCAAGACACAAAGAGTACTTTCACATTTATTTTTATGTCTGTAGAAGCTCATCTGCTGTTACGTAGGTGAGAGACCCGGCCCATCTGATTGCATCAGGCAGTGTATTCATCCCCGCTTTCTTAGCCCGTCTTTACTGTATTGTCTATATATTTGTTCCATTACAAAAATCATTCAACTTTATAGCCTTTTTTTTTCTTTTTACTATTTTCTAACTCGCCAATCACCTCTTTACCACAGGCAGAAGAAGCAAGAATAGGTGGTATTTCAATGATGATTATACGTTTTGGATATTCAGGGCCAAACAAACAAGCGCACACACACACACACACACACACACACACACACACACACACGCACACACACAGCATCATTAGCAGAATCTTAACCGAGAGAGGAGGTTAAAAACATTGCAAACCTCCAGACTAGCCTGAAATGAAGGAATTCTGTCAGGCAACATCACAGGTACCAATCTTGGCGGGCTGACATTATTAAATTATTATTTCAGTCAAAACATCACTTTGAGTCAAAATAACTCCTTTTGTTTCCCCCAGATTGCTTAACTAAAATATTACATGTTACAATACATTATGTTTTTCAGGAGTGGCTTTTAATCAGATCTATATTTCAATAGTTTGAATGAAAACACAAAATTACATCAGCCTTTAATTTTGGAAAACCAAAAGCTCTTACATTTAAAAGGTACAACCAATGTAGCCCCCCCAGCCCTGAGCACTACGCACGCGCCTGGTATTGCTGCATTCGCGTGCTCTTTGTAGACTCCGGATTTCCGGAAATCAAACATTAAAAAGTCAACTCAACTTAAAACTCATTCCCATGCTTATACTGTACATTAAGCGCGATCTAGGTAGTTATTCTAATGTTTAAAGACAAGAGACAATGTAATGCCATGGCTACTGGGCGGAGAGAAATGATTAGGCAATTTAAGACATGCATTAGAAGATTTCAATGACACTTTTACTTCAAATTAGATAGTAATTGGTAGAGGTATATATTATGTGTATATACACATAGTAGCTTTAGTTGTATCTGATGAGACATGATGAATAAGTAGGGTACATACCATACTCTCAGTCTTACACTGGACTTATTACACTTGGAATTTAGTCTAGTGATAAAAGGATAATTACTTAACAATTCATCTTAAAAACATAATGCAAATGGCTACATTTTTTAAACGCAAGGTACTGACAATGTCCACCTCCACTTGTATATTATACACACGACATTTCCATATTTTTTATATAAAGAGAACCAGTCGTGTGACCCGAGGTGGAACATTCCGACAGCACCTGAATGCAGCACGAACACCAACACATTCCCATTGCCACAGAGGAGCAGACTGGGAATGAGACTCCGCTAAGTGCGCCCTACCTGGTCGAACGAGTCGTGCACGCTGTCAACCACAGAAGAGGAGGAAACACCCTTTAAAGTGAGTTTTTAAACAACCGAGAGGATCTACCGAGTGAGTCTACGGAGCCGACGCGCGCGTTGAAGGACCTCGATTAAAAAATATGGATTAAACTGCAGGGATGTTCAGGAAACGATGAAAACAATATCGACACAGCGAGGAGTGACACCAGGGCCGAAGGGAATGGCTTGATTTGTCACACCGGGAGCGAGCGCGGTGGGACGTTACTGTGCTCATGTTTCTGTGGAAGAGAAAGAAAGTTTGCTGCGCTTCACCCGCACACGGGTCCACTTCCTGAGAAGGCATCGCTGCTGTGACTTATTTCTCATCCCGGTTTGCCGAGCCCGCCAGTTTCGGGAGGTGTTTGGCTCTCTGGCTGTCCAAAATGTCCAACCCCGCGCTGAAGAAGAACCACTGGACCTCCAGAGTGAGCGAGTGCTCCGTCGCCAAAGACGCCCGCGGCGAGCTGAGCGTGCCGCTGCGCGGCGGCGCGGAGAACGGGGAGTTCGCCCACATCGGACCCGTGAACGAGGCGCTCGTGGTTTTCAAAAGTGGGAAAATATATGAAGGAGAGCTGCTGCTGGAAGTCGAGAAGCTCCCCATTTCGGGATTACCGCTGTACGACGTGCAGACCGTGATAAAGAACTGCAAAGGTCCCGTCAGGTTAAAAACCGTCCGGCAAGGTGAGTGAGAGACGTCACGCGCAGAACTCCGCTGGAACTTCTGCTCTTTTAGTGTTGTTTTGGTTTACTTAAAAGTTTAAGGGGGCTGAAATTATTTGTTTAGCCAGGACGGTTATTGGAACTGAAGGGAGCGCTCGTGAATTCGGCTCAACTAAAGTAGTCAATTAAGCGAGAACTTGCATCAAAATAGGGACAAAAGTTGGCGTTCGGGGGAGGAGTTCTGTGTAATCTTGGATTTAGTAATATGTCAAAATAAGATGTTCCAGGCGAAATATTGGCTGGCGGGCGGGGGGGGGGGAAGTCATGTACAACTGACAGCTTTTTGAATGAAGTTTGGCTTTTTCTTCTCTGTATTCTGGAGAAACAACCTCGCTGGTCCAGGGAGATGGAAACCACACGGGCTCCCAAACGCTGTTTATTCATCTTCCCCTTTTTGTTAATTCTCTTTTTGCAAACCCTTGGAAATGACTCCAATGTTAGGAAACGTCATAACGCGGAGGTAAAAACAAGCAGATGCTCAGCAGGCTGAGCTGGCCTGCTGTCTGTTGTGGTTTTGGCGTCTGTTGATGGAAGCGAATGGACTGGCGACGCTTCTCAATAGAAACTTCCCCCAAAAATGTGGAACATAAGTTAAGTAGGAGCGATGCGATCGTGAGGCTTGTGTAGCTGGTCTGTCTTGCTCATGGGCAGCTTGACTCGGCCGGTTTGACCCTGAGCCTCTCTGACGGGCCGCCGAAAGGCCGCTGGGGGCCACGCGGCCCAAAAGAGCAGCAACTCTTCAAGGACAATTTCACACGTTTAGAACCTGTGAATTCAGCTGGCGGCAATAACGTCAGCGTCTGCTCAGAAGCGGCTTATTTTAAGGCTCAGTATGGAAGTGAGCGTCCCGGTACGGCCCTATTAGGGCCCCGCTCACAGGTCAGGTGTTTTCACTTAACCACTAATTACGCCTCTACGAGCGCTGGTGACCATGTGATGTCGCAGGTGAACTTAACGAAAGCGCTTTATTCCAGCGTCCCAGGGAGGCGCCACAGCAGAGGTCGTTTGCATTGTATAAACTGACGCTCGCGGCCACTTTGTTAGCTTTTAAACGACTTTCTATTGTTTTGATGATAAGGGCCGTGCGGCATCATCGGCCTGACAAGTTTGACAAAACCAACAGGTCCGGTAGGGTTGGTGTCGATCACTCGTGCCGTAACTCCCACACGCAGTCTTGACTCTAGAGACGACGTCATGCAGAAGGAGTGATGATCCCAGCGCTGGACGTGAGCGACTCCGGACGTCCCGGATGCCGGTGATTCGGTTCGGATTCCTGGCGGTTCACTATCGTGGTCGCTCTGCCGTTCAACCTTCTAACAGGCCTCTGGCTGCAGGACAGTAAACCGAACGTGTAGTGGGGAGCAGTTTGGCCAGTTGACATCTGGAGGTGTTTGTAAAATCTCGAGTGAGTTCAGAATATTGAAATTCCCCGTCTTGTAACATCAGCGCCCCCGGTCCGTTCTGTGCTTTGATGACTGTAGACAATAGAAGGAAACTCTCGTTCTCACTTTGGACCAATCAGAAGTCCGTGCTTCCCCCCCTCCTTTTCCAGGACCCATCTGGGGATGTCGTGGGTCACCGCCTTTACACGTCACATGATCAGAACCCATTTTCAAGTATTTTAATAATTCACGCTGTCTGGGAATTTCCCCTCCCTGATCAGTTTTAATTGAGAAAATATGCTCGGCAACAAGGGCCATCTGTAAAGTCTAAGTGACCTATTTCTCCCCGGCGCTTGTGCCATTTTTCTCACTTTAATCGAGTGCGATGTGTGGAGACGTTGCTCCCAGCATGTTGGCTCTCTTCAGCCAAGTCGCTGTTGCTGACTGCCCACCCATATAAAGACTTGTTTAAAAAGCGTTCTGTCGGGAGCTTCAGCGCTCCGCGCAGACCTATCTGCGCACACACACACACACACACACACACACACACACACACACACACACACACACACACACACACACACACACACACACACACACACACACACACACACACACACACACACACACACAGGGACACTTCCAGTCTGAGTAGATAAAATGCTCCAACCAGTTCTGCTGCAGAGATTGCATTGTTTCCTTTGGGTGTCGGTCTGAAAAAGTGTGTAGGACTCACACACTCATTCACTGCAGGACACACACACTGTGTGCACTGCTGCCGAGTCCAAGCCGTGAGAAACTCACTTCAGTGTGTATTGATCGGGCAGAAGCTGTGGGAAAATGTCATTATGTGCATACAAAGACAGGCATGCGCTCTCACTGTGTTGTTACAATGGCAGCTAGAGTCCGATAACGTTTGCAAACAAAGTAACGCAATGATAAAAACTTGTCAATCGGATAAACACCTACGTTAAAGGATAATCCCTTCAGGAAGAGGACCTAGTGTACTCCACATATGCACAACTATTACTGTGTAGTACTATGGATAACGCAACAACACACCTGCTTTTAAAACACACAATCACAACAGTGACTGTTCCTCGTACGTGGCTAACTGAGTTAGCCGGATCATTTTCAGGATGAGATGACGTAGATCACGCGTTTTCGGTTCCCCGAAGCAGGTTTGTCTAAATCACCATAGCAACACATTGGAAAAACTTGAACCTGCGCCAGAGCAGGTTCATCTGAGCTGCTGGATTAGTTCATCACTCCCCCGGAGAAAAGGGCAGCTCTCTTCCTCATTGATGAAGGAGCGACATCAGTTAGATTAACGTTTTATATTGAGAGACTTCTCCGAGATCACAAAGACCCGTTTAGCTGCGATGACGTCCTGTACGAGCGCTACAGATGCTCAGGACAAGGAATCATTTATTTACAAGATTTCCCCGTTACGTTACGTGATGAACACCACACGCTGCAGCCGAACATCCACTGTCCCACGGACTGTCTGTCTGAATGAGCAACGTAAAATATGTATAATATATTAAATTCATCTGACAGAAATGATTCAAATTAACATATTATCTCCTCATATGTGTTCATAATCATTTCCTGCTGGTCGGCGGAGAAAAAAGTCGCTCTTCCTTAAAGTTTGTTTGCCGTTATACTGTTAAAAAATCCTGGTTTCGGTGATCGACTCTAACGTAAGACTATTATCCTGGTGATTGACATCTGGTTCAAACTAACGAAACTAAGGATCCCTCTTCGAGGAACCGAGATAGCCTCGTGTCAATCATCTCGGTAATTTGAGCTGGATTATTTGATCGACTTAGTCGAACCACGTACGAGGAACGGGGCCCAGGCCTTAGTGCACGTGTTGCTAAAGTGCGGGTCGCTCTGGTAAAATGATTAAAAGAGCTGCATGTCATCAGGGAGATGGTGTGATCGAGGCCTCACTTGCTATAAATTTACAGAAGAAAATATTCTCCCTTCTCATAATTGCGGTGCAAGCTGCTAAACGAAGCTTCTCAAATTTACAACACGTGTCACTGCGTTAACTCTGAGGTCTGTGTGTGTGTGTGTGTGTGTGTGTGTGTGTGTGTGTGTGTGTGTGTGTGTGTGTGTGTGTGTGTGTGTGTGTGTGTGTGTGTGAGAGAGATTGTTTCTGGCAGGCATTTCATTTTCATATGGAAGTGTTTGCATTTCCTTTCTATCAACAGGATGTGAGACGCCACTCCTCACCCCGACCGTTCCTCCACCTTTGTGTCTCCTGACAGCGGTGGAGGGACGTCCCTTCCTCCGCAATAGCTTCAGGAAAGGTCTTTGGCTTCAATTTCAGGGTGTGTTCTGTATCCCTACACGCGCGTGTGAGAACAAGAGATAAGCATCCTGCCTACTCTGCCCTGACCCTGTGTCGGTGCCCACTGCCCAGGTTCTGCATTTAGATAACGGTGGAGAAACGATCCGTTAACAACTTAATAGACCCTGGAACACGTTTGTGTCTAAAGACGTACACATGCAAACGTGTGTGTGTGTGTGTGTGTGTGTGTGTGTGTGTGTGTGTGTGCGCGCAGTCTTTATTCTTCGTGTGTGCTGAAGAATGGCGTTTCCTTTTCGTAATTGGCTCCAGTGTAGGTTGACGTATTGAGTGTGAATGGCAATCGGTCACACTTGGCGCTTGCAGTTACACACTCTGTCAGAAGAAGAGAGAGGCCAACTAATTTACAATAGTGGGTTTAGTGTGGCGGGGAGGGGGCGTTCAGCGAGGCCGTCTCATTTCCTTTTTGAAGACCGCTCTTATGCGCTGTCCTCAGATTGTGAACGTGCACAGCAGAGGAGTGAGCGTTCCTCAGGAATGCCTCGAGATTCGGACACGGTTGACAAAAAGTTCCCGAAGATGGTCTGGAACACCAGGACGGACCAAAGAGAAACGGTTTGTTCGAGCTTTCAACAGCATCATCATGAATAGCGTCCTTTGCTACGGTCTGCACTGGAAATCAAAGCCACGCTGAGCCTCCTTACGAGTGTCGGCGCACACAGGGAAATGAAAGCTCTGAGCTTAATATCGGCCTGCGTTGGTTCAGCACCTACGGTAACCGTCATCCCACCAATGAGTGGGATGAGTTGACAAGTCCGCTCCAAAGGCCGTTGCTTATTTCCACACTGTCAATCCTGCTGCTTGGTTTGCATAATCCCTCCTCTGATGCTCCGCGTTAGCGAAATTAGTCTCCAATCTCAGAGCAGGTGGACATCAAAGTTTTTCTTTCATGAAGCAGTAAGCATTGAGATTCTGATGACGCGTGTGTCAGGTGCTTAAAAATGGACCTCGCTGTAAATTAATCGTATTGCTTAGAAGATCATTTTGTTCAGGATCCAGCCTGGTAGTGTTCATTAAAAGTTTTTTCTCCATGTTTTCCTTCAATCCAGTATTGCTTTGCTTAGATCTACCCCGTAAATGTGAAAAATCCAATCTAGCATGACCCTGAATTACGAGCCGGTGGTCCCGCCCACCTTTTTCTGGTCCTTTAGTGGTTTCATGTGTTTGTTCACATCCTCGTTTCCGCTTGTTATGTTGAAGCC